AGGTAATATGGTATTTGAAATAATCACCAAAAATTGAATTTTCTTCAGAATTTGCAATTATCCAACAGTTGACTTTTGGAGTTATGACCTATATGTTGGATTATATAACTGGGCACGTGGTTCATGAAGGGTTTTGGTACAACCTGTATCACTCCGATACCCGTAGAGATGAAATTTTCTGATTTATACGGCAACGAGATTATTAATAGTTCTTTTCCCTTGATGATTCCTAGTTGAGTATTATTACTATCCCTAGATTTGGCTGATGTTAAGTGGACACACGTGGACTTATTTGATTCCGAGTGGGGTTTGGAGAATAATTCTCCAATTTTATAAAAATATTGTTTTCGGATGAAAATTTCCCTGAATAACACCAAAATTTACAAATGAAATATTTATAAACTAAAATCCTATAATCTTAGAGAGACTTACGTGGAATCAGGATATTTCTGGTTATATATATTAAATATTTCTGGAACAATGGTCGTATGTTATATAACATTCACTATACCACATGGAAAATTTTTTTCTTATAATTACCACTTTTTAATAATTTTTTTACTTTTAAACACAACTTGCACTGTCCACTTTCGACTTGAGAATGAATTAAATGTGACAAAATATTAAGTTGCTAAGTAAAATGCGTGATTAAAGAATTCAATAACTGCGTAATTAATTTCCAATGAGCAATTAATAAAAAAAATGCAATTGCATTTACGTTTGTTTATGCATAAAAAATGAGATTAATATTTGGTAACATGTATGATTTGATACACAATGTTACGCACATATAACAAGAGTTCCAACTCTGGTTTTGTTCGGTCGTGTTACTAAACCGCTCTTTATAATAATTACAAATTAATTTGTTTTGAATGGAAAAATAATTGTATACTGTTGAATTTGCAATATAGTTTGGAAGTCACTGCTGTTGCATATTTAAAATTCATTAAATTTCTGCCGTTAATTTTAAAATTTTGTATTACCCAATAAACAATTTTGTTTTATAATTATGAATTGTGTAAATAAAAAGTGCGCCATTACTAATGATGAGGAGAGGATGATTATTTGTTGGTTATGTCATGGTCTCTGTCACGTAAAATGTAGTGGTCTATCTGTACTTGTTGCCGATTCTCTTGCAAAGAATATTGGACTTCTCTGGTGCTGTAATTCTTGTATGAAAATTAGTGTAACTTTTTACCATTTTTTCCAAGGAACAAAGAACCATTTTTTAGAAATTCAAGATGAGGCCAATAAGCTATCGGACAGAATTTCTAATTATGGTAAACTTTTTGATGATTTTAAATGTCTGGACTCAATAAAATCTCCTATCCAGTCTTCTCCCAAAAGACGTAAATCATTCAGAAAAATCAATAAAGAAAAACAAGACGATCCTCACACAAATTCTAATACTGCTTCACTTACACCATTAAACCCTGTTGCTGCTCCTGATGCTGCTGTTTCTTCTGATGCCTCATTAATTAATCCAGTTGTCTCTAATTCTGCTATTAACTCTAACCCTAATTTAAATTATGTTGAAGTCGATGCTGCTTCTTCTTCTGTCAACTGTTTTGCTTTAAGTAATTCTACTACAACCTCATCACGAAACACTACCACGACAGTACATGATAATCCATTTAGTAATCCAGTATAACGTATAACGTCTTTTAAATTACTGTTCCATTTAATATTTTTGACCGTGTTGTTGACCCGTCATTCTGGCCAAATCATGTTATAGTTCGAGAATATGAATACAATATAAATCAACGTGTAAACAATACTGTACATCTTCCGCCTCGTCAACCAACAAGCCAAAAAACTAATTAATACTAGTGATATTCAACTTAATATATTATACCAAAATGTTCGAGGTCTGAAAAGTAAATGCTCTAAACTGTATCAAGATAGTTGTAATTTGAATCATCATGTTATTTGCTTCACCGAGACCTGGCTTAACAATACTTTTTTAAATATGGAAATTTTTTGCAACAGTTTTCAAGTCTTCCGTCGAGATAGAATTACAAATACGACTGGGGGTGGTGTATTAATAGCGATCTCTAATCAATTTTCGGCTGAGGAATTAAAATTTGACGCAGCCTACAATATCGAATTTATTGCTGTGGTTATGAAAATAAATCGGATGAATGTTTTTATTACCTGCTCGTGCATTCCTCCTCAATCGGATTTATTGATTTATCAGCAGCACATTGCTTTAATTAAAATTGTGTCTTTAAAGACAAAACCCGACGATCTAATTTTCGTTCTTGGCGATTTTAATTTACCTCAAATTACCTGGCAGTTCTCCACTGAGAATAACAATTACATACCCATAAGATCTAATGGAAATGGCGATGATGTATTTAATGAGATTTCAAATTTATGTCTACACCAAATCAACGGATCATACAACATTTTTGGAAAATTGCTTGATATAGTATTTGTAAATGTACCTAATGAATGTACAGTAAATCGAGTTGATCCAGTTACACTGCCCGAAGATCGTTACCACCCCACAATTGAAATAAACTATAATATTCAAGGTTGTTATTGCGTTAAAAATGTTTCAAAAAAGGAAAAAGTGTTTTGCTTCCAACGTACAAACTATGCTGACTTTAATAACCTTTTATATAATACTAATTGGCTTCAACTATTATCCATCCCAAATGGTATGCCTTATTCTATTGACAAAATGATTAAAATTTTTTATGACACCATGTATCAATATATGGAGGAATGTATTCCAAAACATTTGCCACGTTCTCAGACTGGCCCACCATGGAACTCCCAACGACTGTCTTCCCTAAAAAATTCAAAAAATAAGTATTATAAAAAATACAAGATATCTGGTCATACACTCGATTATGGGAAATATTCTATTCTTCGTGCTGAATACAATTTGTTGAGTGCTAAACTGTACAAAAACTACTTAACCAAAATGAAACGTAATTTCAAACATAATCCGAGGTCGTTCTTTACTTTTGTTAACTCAAAAAGAAAGATTTGTGTCACCCCGAAAGTATTGAATTATTTAAGTACAGAGTCAAGTGATGAATCGGAAATTGCCAACTTATTCGCTGATTTTTTTTCCTCTACTTACTCTAATGCCGAATATGATAATTATAAAACCTATCCATTTAATGTTCACCCTACTCAAACAATATCATTCCCATTACTAAACACTACACACATTATAAAATGTTTAAATTGCTTCAAATCCTCATTGTCATGTGGACCAGATCGCATACCAAGTTGTATTTTGAAAAATTGTTCTACGGCTATTGCAATTTATCAATTTTTGAACCTTTATCAATTATATTTAATACATCATTAAAATTTGGTTACTTCCCTAAAATTTGGAAAGAATCGTTCCTTATTCCTTTATTCAAATCAGGCAATCGGTCAAATATAATAAATTACAGAGGCATAGCCAAACTAAGCGCTATCCCAAAACTTTTTGAAAAATGTATTACTGACTCTCTCGTCCATCAAGTATCTCCCTTACTATCGACTTGTCAACACGGTTTTCGCAAGGGATCCTCAGCAATGACTAATATTCTACAATTATCAACATTGGTTAATGAAGGATTCACTATTGGTCAACATACTGATGTCATTTATACTGATTTTAGTAAAGCGTTTGACAAAGTTAATCATAAACTTCTGCTAAAAAAACTGGATACAATGGGTTTCAATAATACTTATATAAGCTGGCTAACGTCATATCTTTTATGCAGAACACAGTCCGTAAAATTCAATTCTACAATATCGAGAAATATTTTGGTAAAATCCGGTGTTCCGCAGGGAAGTCACCTAGGCCCTATTTTATTTTTACTTTTCATCAATGATTTGCCAGAAGCAATAAAATATTCACATGTACTTATGTTCGCAGATGATGTCAAAATATTTTTAAGCCTCAAACATTCACCAGACCATATTTATCTTCAAAAGGATTTGTATAATTTTTATAAATGGTGCAACCATAATTTAATGGAACTAAATCTGGAAAAATGCAAGCACATGACTTTTTCGAGAAGGTGCGATACTTTTGATCACTACTACATCGGTGGTTATAAACTAGAGTCGGTAAAAGTAATTATGGATCTCGGTATTTTGTTGGATGAAAAGTTAAACTTCATACAACATATTACGATGACTGTTAACAAAGCTCGAGGAATCTTAGCTTTTATTAAACGATGGGCAAAGGAATTTAATGATCCCTTCATCACTAAAACATTATTTACGTCACTGGTAAGACCAATTTTAGAATATGGCTCAATTGTGTGGGACCCCTATTATAATATTTACATTGATCGTATCGAATCTGTCCAGAAACAATTTTTGCTATTTTGTTTAAGAGATGTATATCGAGGATATTCTACGCTTCCATCATATTCTTCACGACTTGCTTTAATTCGATTGCCAACAATAAAAAGCCGAAGAATTATGCTAAATGTTTCATTTCTTTTAAATCTTTTAAATGGAAATGTATCATCCGATTTTCTTTTAAGTAAGATATTATTAAATGATCCCCAACGTTAAAGTTGAACAATTAATAGTCTTTACATTAAGAAAATTGTATAATTTATTTAATACTCAGTCTGTAAGGATAATTTCCATAGACTAAATAAAAATAAATAAATAAAAAAACGTGAGACTGAAATAAGATGCAAAAGAAAAGTAAAATATCTAGCATGCGAGTTACATGGGGAAGGATACCAATACATAGTGTTTGAAAATGTTTAAATGTATTTGGAGTTAAATTTGTATAAATGTTTTGATAAATATTGTTGAACAAAAATCGTAACAAAACTGTTTCGTTTGAAAATTCATTTGATAAACGAACAGGAATCCGATTTATCTTAATTTAGATTAAATTTTTCCTGTTTCTGTAATTGGGATTAAGAATGATCATATTGGTATATTTTAAATTTGTTACAACAATTTTTATTAACAATAATTAAGACAACGTGTGGCACGACCCACGTAAGCCGGGCAAATATAGTTTAACGCTTTAAATCCGATGTGTGATACTTTCCAACATATTTACCATTTAAATCTTCAATATCGTACAAATTATTTCCAATTTTCCTCTTAATCCTACATTTAACAAACTTGGGCAAGAATTTTCTATTAATATGCTTCGACATATCGCTTAATATGTGGTTTTTTCTGAATACGATTTCGTCTTTTTCAAATTCGATGGGCCTACTTCTAAGATTGTAGGTTTTCATTGCCTTCGTATGTGCGATATTCAAATTTTCACGCAATTTTCCTCTAAGTTTTGCTAGCTTATCAGATCGATCAATGACATTGAAATCCTCACCGGGTATGCAACCAAGTTTATCCAAAATTTTATATGTGGATCCGTGCTGGATCATATTTTGTCCGAATACGGCAAAATAGGGAGAACACTGAATCGAGGTGTGAAAATCACTACGTAATATGCTTAAAATTTGTGGAATATATCTATCCCAATCCCTATGGTCCTTGTGATCCTGTAGAAAACATCTAATCTTCGTAACGATTTCACGATTTACACGTTCGGACGCATTCGAATGGGGAGCATAAAAGCCTGTGGTTACATGATTAATATCGTACATATCAAAAAACTCTCTCATATCTTTGGACACAAATCGCTTGCCATTGTCACTATGAACATATCTAGGCACTCCGAATGTGGGAAACATTTCCGTTTGGAAAAACAAAATTACATTTGCGGAAGTGGCGGATTTCATAGGTTTAAGAAAAACGAATTTCGTTAAATGGTCTACACATATGAATATAACCGAATTCTTGACTTTGGTAAACGGATATGGGCCGAGAAAATCACAATACCATCTCTCGAATGGTCTATTGGAGATAAACTGATTGCCCATGGTTGGCCTAGAGACTTGGTTTGTGGACTTAATGCTCTTACACACGTCACAGTTATTGACATATTGCTTAATGTCATTTGACATCGATGGCCAAAAGTACTTATTGCGAATCCTAGATAAGGTTTTTACAAAACCACCATGGCAAGAGGAATCTGAATTATGTACTAACTCTATTACTTTCTGAGTGAGAGATTTTGGGACCCATATTCGCCAAAGAGTGTCTTCTTCGTTTTCTACACCATGTCTAAAATGTACACGTTTTAAAACAACATTATCTGATATACGAAGATCAGGCAAAGACTCTTTATTTTAAGTAATGGTTTTCTTAATATCTTGATAATCGCTATCATCAAATTCTGCTGATGTTAAGTCAATTTCACTAAAACCTTTTGTTGAATCTAAAATCTGGCACGGTATTTAGATTTCCCTTCCTATGCTCAATCCTGAAATCATAACGTTGTAGCTTTAAGCTCCAACGGGCCAATCTTCCGCTAAGGTCTTTTTGTGACATTAGCCACTTAAGGGAAGAATGGTCCGTAGTTATACGGAATGGTAGCCCCTCAATATAAGCCCTAAACCTATTCACACACACAATGGCCGCCAAGCATTCAAGCTCCATCACCGTGTAATTCTTTTGTGCACCATTCAATTTCTGGGACACATTACGAGATGGGATGTTCCATACCCTGATCATCGCATTGGAATAGCACACCGCCAACGCCTATTTTCGACGCATCACACTGGATGACAAACTCCCTGTTAAAGTCTGATTGTGCAAGGACAGGGGCAGTGGAAAGAGCTAGCTTTAGATTTTCAAATGACGTTTTTGCGGCTTCTGTTAAGCAAAATGGTTTTTGTGACTTTTTTAAGCAATCAGTCAAGGGACCTGATATATCTGCAAAGTTATTTATAAAGCTCCTATACCAATTAGCCATTCCCACAAATCTTCTCAGTTGTTTTGGCGTTTTTGGTAATGGGAAGTTCTTAATCGCCTCAACTTTTTCTGGGTCTACTTTAAGACATCCTTCACCTACAATGTAACCCAAATAACGTATATGTTTTTGGCAAAATTTGCTCTTGGAGACATTAATGGTTAGTTTAGCCTTTTTAAGACACAAAGCCACTTCGGATAAGAGTTCAATATGCGATGAAAAATCCGTGCTGCAGACCAATAAGTCGTCCAGGTAAATAAAAACATTTTCCCGCAACCGTGAAGGTATTACCTTGTCCATGAGACGACTCATTGTCTGTGGACCATTACATAGACCAAACGGCATATATTTGTAATGATACAAAGCCTTGCCGGGAATAACAAACGCAGTTTTCTCTTTTGAGGTCTCAGACAGCCGGATTTGTAGAAATGCGTCCTTTAAATCTATACCGCTTATGTAAAAAGTGTCTTTAAGCCTACTGAGCAAACCATTAATGTGGGGTAAGGGGTAGAAATCTTTCTTGGTAACAGCGTTAAGCTTCCTAGAGTCAATGCAGAGTCTTATCTTCCCTGGTTTCCTTACGAGAACTGCAGGAGAACACCAGGGAGAGTTTGATTCTTCGATAACACCCATATTGAGTAATCTTTCGATTTCTGCGTACGCTTCCTCTTGTCTTGGTGGAGACAAGGGGTAATGTTTACATTTTATTGGTGTGGCGTCACCAGTATCAATATGGTGTTCGAGCAAATCGGTACAACCCAAGCCAAGAACCTCAAATGATGGAAATTTTGATATTGTTTTCTCTAAGATCAATTTCTGTTCTGGTGTGATATCGTGAAAATTATCATTCGATTCTGAATCACATACAACTTCCGAAATATTTGGACTAGTGGAAGAAACAGGAATTATGTCAGGGGCAAGTGCGAAATCTCGCCAAAAATTTACACCAAAATATGCCTCTTGACTTAATGTTGGTACTAAGTAGAATGAAATATCTTTCTTGACACCCTTAAAAATAACTGGCAATTTACAAAAACCGATTACATTTTGCCTGGCACCATTGGCAGTGCGAAGTGTAGAATCTAGATTCCTATAGGAAATGTTATTTCTTTCCAAAAATGATAAGCAATCTTTGCCCAAAACTGAGACGTTGGCCCCAGAGTCTAGGAGACCAACTAATGTTTCATCCAGTATTCTAACCCTGACAAAAGGCCTATCATCGGAGCCGTGAATTATTGATGACTCTAACATTTTACGAAAATAACGACGCTTTTTATAGCGTATTCTACATTTCATTATCTTAAGGCTTGGTTTATTAAGAAATGTTTTATTTGAGGGAATAAAGGGCAAATTATTACTGCAGAAAGAGACGTGTTAGTTTGTGTAGAAATAGTATTTGTTGAAATTAAGTTTGTTTTTGAATTAGCAGGTAAGGTTTTAGAAATATCAGAGAGATCAAGGTTACTACTCCTATTCGAGCTTAAATCAAACTCGGGGTTTGAGGGGGTGGACGAGTGTCCCCGGTCGCCAGTTCGCCCACTTTGCGATTTCCCTGTAAATTGTGCTTATTTGGACAATTAGGTGTAAATACACCTTTGTGACCACATTTAAAGCAAAAGGGCTGTTTAATTTCTTGGGTACAATAAATATACGAGTGGCCAAGTGACATGCAATTCCAACACTTTATGTTAGAATAATCATATCTAATTCTTTTATTAGAAACTTGAATCGCATCAATTTGTGGATCTGTGCCTTCCGAATCCTCTTCATCAGAGAGCGGAAGATTTATTTCGTTAACATTACGAGAATTCGCTGTATTTGGGTTTTGAAACTTAGTCTCCCTAATAACTTTCTCAGCTTTGCGAGCAGTGTCTCTAAACTCATTCAGATTCTGCGTTTCTGTATCAAATAGTAAAAATCTAAGATTTGAGTTTATGTTTCTTTTCATTATCTCAATTAAAGTTACATCTGGTAATGGATTCTACAAACGCAGATTCATGGAAACTATAGCCGAATGGAAATCGTCGTAGCTTTCCTTAAATTGTTGTTTACGCAACGAAATCTTTAATAACACATCATGGTCTGATTCCAAATGACCGAACTCTTTAGTAAGGGCTTGTCTTAAAAGTGGATAAGTTACATTTCTATTTTGCTTTGTAAAAAGCCAATACCACTCCTCTGCTTTGCCCTCCAACAGAACATGAAAGTTCGATAGGAGATGGTCATCAGGGCATCTGGATCTGGCACAAAGTGTTTCTACTTTAAACAAGAAGTCTGAAACAGATCCAGATCCATTATAAGTTATCTTCCACTTCTCAAGTTTTATGTTAGCTTCACTATTCGCAGAATATCTGCTCTGGTTATCCGAAGGACGATTACTATTGGAAACAGGAGTATTTGACTCCGTAAAATTTGTGAAAAATTCTGGTTGTCTATTGACATTTGATATAGGGACACTACCAATTTGAGCTATACTAGCTCTTATTGACGTTAATTCTTTCCTAAATTCCTCTTGAGTATTTCTCATTGTTTGCTGCATTAAGGCAATTAATGAGTCAAGTGAAGATGCGGAATTATTAGAAACTAAAGGAACGTTATTGCTTGGAAGAGAAAACTGTTCATTAACCGGATTCATTGTTGGATCAACGGGAGCTCTTTCACTACTAGAAATATTAACGTGTGGTTCTGAAGCTGAGTTTTGATTACTAAGAAATTGTATGTCTTGAAATAATGTCGATGACGTTAAGCTATTTGAACTTTGTGGCCTATGAATCTGCTGTGTAGGTGGTTGTCTATTTGCTGGAGAATGAACTACTCTGGGTTTCGGACTACTTGCACTAGACTGTAATTCTGCAGATACATTATTTCTTGTAGCAGAAGAACCTCGACCTTGTCCAAATGAACTATTTCTATTACCTCTTGAAGAATTTCTAGTTTCCATAACAAATGAAAAAATATCTAACACAAATCTCAGAAATTAAAAATTGCTTGACGAAATCTAGTAAAATGAAAAACTTTTTGTGTAAATCTATTTATCTTTCTAAAATAAGCGATATAATTTTATTTTGTAAATAAGCAAAACAGGCAAAAACGATATGTAAAAGTATTCAAAGATCAATTTATGTTAATCCTGGGAAGAATATACCTCAACAAATGTAAAATTTTCGTAAATATAAGTCATGTTTAAAATAAATCAGAAGTGCTTCGTATTTATATTAAAAAATATCGGACTACTTCCTTTTTATATACATACAAAATATAAAAATGTATCAGAAATTTCTATCTACAACATCAAGAAATTTTTTTATTATAATCTCAATAATGGACTTGAAAGAAATTAATAACACATAGTTCTTGTCCTCATTTAATGCAACTTAGACTGAACTTAATTAATGATTCAGAATTAGGACTGTTAAATGGAAAACAAGATTTAAAATAGGTTAAAGATACATATTTTATATGCACTTTCCATAGCGCATTTAGATTCGGAACTATTGTGTTCTTAAGAATGCTAAGACTTCTAAGAAAGTAATACATATAAAAGGTGTTAATTTGTAAATGTAAATAAATTGTTTAACCTAATAAATTATACGCTTAATATGTTCAATTTCAAATTTTCCTATTCTCTTCTACTAGACCTAAGAGAAATATATGTTCTAAGTAATTTTTGATTAGATTATTTTCTACTGTACCCTTAACTTGGCCTTTACGTTAAGCTTATATAAGCTTAACGTTGAGCCTTATCGAGGGCCTTTTCGTTGGGCGCCATATATGTTACGCTCGGCTAGTATTTTCAATAATAATAAAAATTGTTGGCTTTTACGTTTTTTAACCGAAATGGACAATAGTGGTTAAGTGGCATGAAGATGATGTTCCCTG